TTCTTGACCCATATCGCAGCTTTAGTCTTTTAAAATTTAAACATCAGCATCTGTCCGCATATTAAAACCGATGCGAAGAAACTCCATGCCTGTCAAGATTTTCCCTGTACCATCAAGCTTAACTTTTCCTATAAATGAAATAATCAACGTTAAACATTACTCAACATTAGACTTTCTTTAAAAAATGTTTTATAAGAGAAAATGACGTTGACATTAAAAAGGTGTATTGCTTCCAGTCGAAAAATATGTTTAAAAATACATGTTTGCTTTCAGTCGAATAGTATGTTTAAAATACATTTTGATCAAATATGGCTTTGTAAATATTCGCACATTTACATGTTAAAAAAATACAGTATAGTAACCATTAACTGTCTCGGCATTGATAGAATTACTTATGTATCTTTAAACGTACTGTCATATTATAAATGCATCATTGCTTCGCCCAGTGATGTACAACATTGGTTTATGTTAGATTTACAAGTAGACTTTGATCAAGTCAAATGTTGCTTTTTTCACTAATGATATTTCCTTAGCATAGAGTGTTATGTGTTACACTTTCAAACAACACCAGAATAGTCTCGGCTGCCTGTCGATGAAGAAACAAATACAGGGTATGTAACATTGTTGTTATCTACAGCTGCGAGAAAGTCATCATCCAAAATAGTGTCCCCCTCTAAAGCGCAACGAGAGTGTGACCTAGCACAAATGTCTGTAAACTGAAAACAAAATCAAGGTACTTATTGATGTTGACAGCAGGATTTGCAATGTAAATGTAAAAGTTATTTTCAATCATAGTCAATACACTTATTTGTCAGTCGGTAAATTGATCAAAAATAGTTTATCTTTTCCATCATTTAAGAAGACATGAATTTATGAAAAACTTTCTTAATTTCAATGAATTTTGCAATACAAGTATCGTGCACTAAGTTGAGCATATCTTTAATAAACAAAAAACAAAAAGTAAACCAGTGATTAGAAAAGGCACTATTTCAACGGTACCAACAGAATCCGCGCTAAATGGCACATAGAAACAATTGCTAGTCCTGCATCAAAAATTCCGCCAAAACTAAGTCACACGCGGTGTCCAACCTGGTAAATCTATCTACATTTGATGAAGATATATTTAAATGTTCATTCACTACAAGTGAAAGTTCATGTAACAAGTGTAAAATGTTCATATAAATGTTAAAATTATAAATACTGTCGAAAATGTAATGTAACTCCTAATAAAAATGCACGTGCATTCTTGGAACAAACATGAGCCAATTAAAATATGCCAACACTTAGTTGGTTTGGACAATTAAAAAAATTTGAACATTGACGTTATGGAATTCTCTTTTTTATGTAAGTATTTCAAATTTGAGTTTTCGTAATTATTGTAGCTGTCTTTAAAATATTTTTAAAGCAATCAAGTCTGTCGAGGTAATTTCATCGATTGACGCATACAAATATAACTCTAAACTCTCGTTATTGTGAAATGTTTTATCCGATATATTTTTTTTACCTTTTGTAATAGACAAGTACTATTTCAATACCTCACGTGATTTTTCTACTATGTGACGCCAGATAGTACCAATCCATAATGTCGCATAACTACATTACTCACCGTTCTGCTAACATAACAAAACGGCCATCATGCGCAAATATCAAGGTCTCATTTTAAAACAATATAAAGTATGATGAAAACGTACCAGGAAACAAAATTTCATTTGACTCTTTTTCTGTCGTATAGTGATTTGATAATGATGTCTTCACGAAGTGCCTCATTCAGTTTTGAACATAAAACCTAAAAATATAATATGTATAATATTAAATATTATATAACAATAAAGACAGAGGTAACATAGAAAGATTTAGGAATCCATATAAACAACATCATCTTTGATTGTATCAGATAGATATGGAGAAAAATATATGAATATTTAAAAAACAACAATAATATGGTGACTGTTGTGGTGATTCAAAATTCAATCTTAAATTCAAAAATATGTAAACTGAAGAAACCCCCGTCCCCCTCCCAAACAACAGGAAAAAAGCAATTCCATTCTTCTCAAATTAACAGGAAGGACAAATTACACTTCTCTTTTTAATTATCGATAGACCATCGCATAAGTACAAACTACAAAAGGGAATAGCGGCCCCAACTAAAAATGTATAGAAAAGTTAGATCATGTAAATTAATGGATTCAAAGTTTTCCTTCGCTTTATATATCATTCAACGAGCAATTCGTGTTACCTAATTACCTGTAGATTTATTAATATGCTGTATTTGCTGTAAAAATAATGCTGTTATTTTCTTATTCACTACTGCAAATATTTTGAGTCTGACCTTTTAATAAACTTGAGCTCTGTTTATGCTAATTGCTTCCCACAATGTATATATGTATATATCATATATTTAACAAATAATACATGGCCTTGAGGGCAATATGCAAGTTTACAGACTGATTGGTCAGACTGAGGAAGGTATATGGCCCGTAGCGCAGCTGAGGTACATATACCTTCCGAGGTCTGACCAACCAGACCGTAAACTTGCATTTTGCCCGAAAGGCCATGTTTTATTTGTTATATTATACCGAATCTAAATCCTTTCATCCCTTTTGTTGCTGACATTTTTACTTTAATTTGCTTTCAAATAATAATTTATTTGTTCAGTGTGTGAAATATCTCAAACCCTAGTCGGATTTATTATCATTATTTTCAAGCGATACAGCAAAAAAATCATGTTCTTCTTTTGTTATTCAATTTTTGTTAATTATATTAAACAGGCCAAAAAAAACCGAACTTTAAGATTTTATATGACGTCATCCAGTCCATATAAGAATTATGGACCGCCCCCGGTCTGTATGCGGTTTATGGACCGGATGACGTTATATTAAATATAGAAGGGCGTATGCAAATGAGGTATAATATAAAAGGGTATGACTTGCACGAGGGAGGAGGGGGCTATAAACAATTAACTTAAGCATCTATTGTTCAATATTCTTCAAAGCTAATTTATATAGTCACACTCTTTAAATATCTTAACGGAAACTGAGGGTGTGTGTGAAAGCTACTTGAATTAAATAAATTTTACGACCCTTAGTTTTAAAAAAGTCGAAGTCTCCTTGAAGCACACAGAACTGACTTGTATACTCTATTTGTGCATTTTAGCGAACATTGAGTGTCAGAACATTCGCAACAAACGGGGAGATTTGAACTTTTTGTTGCCACTCTTAATTTTGTTTTGAATGTAAACTGGAAGCAACTTGAAGCAAATCGATTATGTCCAAAGTTCATTTTGAACAAAAAGTCAATTTCTCCCTTAAGTATACAGAGCTGACTTGTATACTCTATTTGTGCGTCTTAGCGGACATTGAGGGTCAGATCCTTCGCAACAAACGGGGAGATTTAAACCAACTTTTTGTTGTTCTTGTTACCATATTTGTATGTGAAGTGAACGCAGCTTGAATCAAATCGATTTTGCACAAAGATCATTTTGAACCAAAAGCGAATTTATCCCTTAAGTATTCAGAGCTGACTTGTATACACTATTTGTGAATTGTAGCGGGCATTGAAGGTTAGGTCCTTCGCAACAAACGGTGCGATTTGGACTTTTCGTTGTCATGCTTAATGTTCGTTTGTATGTGAAGTGAAAGCAACTTGAAGCAAATCTATTGTGTCCGAAGTTCATTTTGAAGTCAATTTCTCCCAAAAAGTATACAGAGCTGACTTGTATACTCTATTTGTGCGTCTTAGCGGACATTGGGGGTCAGGTCCTTCGCAACAAACGGGGAGATTCAAACCATTCTTTTAATGTTGTTGTTATGCTTAATTTATTTTGTTTTTGTTTTTTATGCAAACTTGAAGCAAATCGATTTTGCACAAAGTTCATTTTGTACCAAAAGTCAATTGCCCCCTTAAGTACACAGAGCTGACATTTATACTCTATTTGTCCATGTTAGCGGACATTGATGGTCAGGTTCTATACAGCAAACGGAGAAACTGGACCATTTCGTTATCATGCTTGACGTTCGGTTTTTGTGTGTAAACTAAACACTATTTGCACCAGATGAATCTTACAACTCGTTTGTTGAGAAAAAGCATTCCTTATGTAAACAGAGCTGCCTTGTTGCCTCTATTTGTGCGTTTTAGCAGAAATTGGTGGATAAGTCACGCCCTTTGCAAAAAGGGGATATTTGAACTATTTCTTTGCCAACTTTCATGACGTTACGAATTTACTGAATTTCATATTTGAAGTACATGATTATATACCTAAGACCATAAACTGTTAAGCTAGTTCTATAATAAAATACATTTGACATATCATTCAGTTGAACAAAACCGTATTTTTGTTTAAAGTTACATGTTTAGAAATAATGTTCGATAAAGAAACAAAATAAAAAAAATGTCCAAGGCATTCATATATAATCCATTTTATTTTCAAGTAAAGTTACAAAATAAATCAATTTACAAAATTTTGCAACGTTGATTTTTATATTAAGAAGTAATTTCCACATCTGTTTTCTAAAAATCCAAGTTTATCAATAGCTTTATTTACAATTAAGAGCGCATATAAATGTTGATTTATTTATATTTGAACTGTGCACTGCAAAGATAACGTGCCTTTCTCATGATAAAAAATCTCTCGACTCCTACACACTTTAAATGCATAAACACATTGATATCTCAACCTGAATTTGAGACAGACGAAATTTTTAGTTTTTAGTAATTTCTGCCATTTATTAACTGATTGTCCGTCTTTTATTTGTAGGTCAATGTTCAGATGCAAATATTTTAGTTTCTAAGTCGAATTATGAAAACAAACTTTATTGTTCTCTACTCGAAACTAACCAAGTAAACGTCAATCAAATTGTTTGTTTTTTCTTTGTTTTTAGGGGTTTTTTGTTGTTGTTATTTTGTTGTTTTTTGTGGGTTTTTTGTTGTTGTTTTTTTGTTTTTTTGTTGTTTTTTTGTTGTTGTTTTTTTTTTAAAGAAAACGGCTTTAATTTCTGGAGAAGATAGTTTGTATGAACAAGTTATAAGTAAGAAGGATAGTAAAGAATTCGTCATTTGTTACAAATATTTTTTTCGTACATCAAAAGTATTGTTACAATTTCAACTGTAGTTATTATATTTTACTGTTCAAACAGAATCCACGACTTAGTCTTTTTAATTGCACAAAGTTATTTTCAAATAATCAAAATGACATATATACAATTTGTTAAGTGCATTAACAGAAACCCGAAGTTCATTCTGATATGAACTTCACTGAAGAATCCTTAAAAAAGACTGCTTCGATTATAACTGAGGGATTTATTCAACTTTGTCAGATCAGGATCTACAACCAACGGGAAATCATATCATACCATTGCTGTACTTTTATTGAAATTAAATAATAGAGTTTAAATATTATGTTATGTTAGTTAAGTAGTGGTTCAATAACTAAAATCGTGAACTTTTTTAAAGTCTAGATAGTTTATCACCAAAATGCAGTCATTTCATAAAACATCTCGATATTGTAGTCACAAAAATCAAACTTCAATGTAAATGATCAAGTTGTTATGATAAGTAAATAAGTTTTATTTATACTTCATATGTTAACAACACAATGACATTGGTATAGTGTGAATTGTAGTTGTGTTATACTTTATTTATAAAGTACACCAAGCTAGCAACAAAATATATTAATTTGTAGGCAGTCTCCAATAAATCGTTTTAATTTTTGAAAAACAATATAAATGTAGAAGGAAAACTTGAAAATTTGTATGGTCAATGTACATGTAACATTATTTATTTTTTCTTCCACTGAAGCACTTAAATAAATGTTTTAAAGCGACATTTATTTCTCCTCTAAGCGAAAAAAGCAGGCAAGTATTTCACATTGAGCAGGTTTGTGGGTTTTGAAGATCATGACTTTAGCAATAACGTAGATACCTTACATGAATGCTCTAATCGACGTATTACACTCAGGACAATCGTGAAGTCGCTCGAAACATGAATAACACAGAAAATGCTTGTAAGGCCGACAACTCACCAAACGTACAATATCACGTGGCTGGTGACAACCGTCGCACAATCCAAACTTTCCATTACCAATTGTCCGCACTTGTGAGAAAGAAGACATGACAGAAAAATAAAGTGAAATATTCTTTACAAATCATCATTATTTTATCATATTTAACGATAATTTCAGAAATTACAAATGTAAACCGAGCCATATAAAATAATTTTGCAATATGAGACTTACTTTTTATTTTATTTTTTATGTACTTCATGCAGTAATTTTCATGTTAAATACTTTTGTTTTAACACCGTAATAAATTCATTCTAAATATTCTTCTGTAAATTGTTAATGTTTACTAAGATCTTAACGTTGCAAAAACTCAATTGATATCGTTCTGATATTCCTTATAAATATTTACTAGTATACGTACCTTCATGTCGAATTTTAGCCAACATAATTCCGATGTATATTACGCTAACAGACAATCCAACAAAACATAGCATTTCATAGTTATATGACTGTTTGCAACTCTTATCAGTCGCTGAAAAATGAACAAATCGAATTGTTTTACTTGCGTTCGGAATGAAGTTTATAATTTTTGTATGAAATTAGAACCTTGTTTGTTTTTTTAACGAAATATCAATTTTATTATTTATCAAAAAATTTAATAGCGATTTTTCTATATAATTTTGCATTTCTATTATAAATTCTTTGAATCGGGAAAAAAGAATACAATGCTATAATTATAAAGTATTTCAAAGTGACATTATTCTCAAAGTGATTATAAATTTACATTTTACCTTAATTCCATTTTTTTAATTATTTAATTCACATGAACGATAAAATAAAAACTCACGTGACCCAAGAAAATTCCTATAAATATCAGTCGGAAATTACTTGTAACTTTAAGTTTATAAAAAAGAGTAAAACAGTCTTTTTCATGTAAAGCTGTATTTAATAAATTTGAGAAAAACAAGAATAGCGACACTTCATTAATAAATTGGGTTTCATATCGACTCCAGATCTTATTTTGGTGTCCAGACAATCAAAGTGAGTTTTATAAGCATAAATATCGGCAACATCTTTGTACGAAATCGGAAGTACAATTTCTGTTTGCATCAACAACTCCGCATTCGGATCATCAGTATAAAAAAAAACATCAATATTAAATCAACAAACATGGCTATAAAATGCAGTCCTACTTATATTTCCGCATTGTAACGGATGTTTTCATACAAATTTAATCTTTTTATGTGATGATAACTTTTTTCTGACAGCGTGAAGATAAAACGGTTAAGGTGTGTTTGCACAAGAAAACGTCATATCTCTGTGACATAGCGCTTACACGAGCTGATTAAAGTCTTCATTTGCATGTTAAAATTCGTATACGAAGTGGGTTTTCCATTTAAAATCGTAATTTATGAACACCATTTGATGAGATTTATAACAATACTGCAAAAAAGGTTAATGAAACTGTAGAATGCTTGATTTTCGGGCCGACGGGAAAATAATTTTACATTTGACAATGAAAAAATAAGCATTATTATCATGTCACTTAATATGACAAATGTAATTATCATAAATAATTGCTTTTTATCTAGAAGTAAGTTTTTAACCACCTTTTCTATGTCGTAAGTGATAAGCGAAAGTGATCAACATTGAAAATTATATCATGTATATATCGATGGTCTCAACATAAAATGCCGGACCTACATTATTTCCGATTTTGCCGTTTAGTGATTTCCGAAAGTTTCGAGTGTTCCCGCTGCTTTTCACCGACTCCCACTAGTCAGCCAATCATTATTTTATTGATCATATTTTAAGCGTTTTATTATAAGGTACTTTCGGTAAAATGGTCTGATAAAGGTGAAGAAAAGCCATCATATTGATATAATTATATTCTAAATACATACCTTTTGTATTGACTGGGTGTTCTTTTCCTGTAACTTTAGCAGTAGATGGCTTCATGTCCCAAAAGTACGTATAATAAATTGCCATAAAATGACCTCTTTTTTCCGTCAAGAACTGTTGATGCTGCTCTTTGTCCACCCTTTTCACTTTGTCATAACTGACTGAAATTATCTGTAATATGCAAGCATGTTGATAACGTATTTTTAGAAAACAGTTTAAATAAAAAAGAAACTTCGAAATATTCTAACCACCTTATACTTCCTTTAAGCCTATTCATTACCTTGTGTTTTGAACGTTTTGAAGAATCATCAATCTTTACTATCCCTTTGATGTATGATTATTATCGCATTAGACATAGAATTTCAATACAGACAATAAAGTTTGAAAATACAAAACATTAATACTTTAAATGCCGTTTAATGTCCAACGTTTCAATTCGAATTGTAATCTGCAATACATATAATTGTAAGAACATAAACTAAGATACATATCTTTTTTCTTTTTCTTTTTTTTTTTTACATCTACAGTATATATTTTGCATATAAATATAAACAACATACATACAATAAACCCATCTATTTTCCAAAAATATTTTACCAATAAAAATTACTACTTATTAATAAACAATTAAACAATCTGTTACGAGGTAAAGTTTTGTTTCACATATTAAGTGTAGTTTAAGCAATTAAGGATCTTATAATTGACCATCTATTATTTTCATCATCTGTCAAATGTGTATTTCTATAGATATTCCATGCTAATTTCAAACTATTTTTAAAACCAATACATGTAGGTAAAAAGTTTTTTCTCTTAGACAAATAAATATATCTTTTCAATTCTAGAAACAATATGTCGTATTTAAAATCTTTATTTTCTGTACCTAATATGAATGATTTACAACAAAGAACAATCGTCAAAATTATGTAAGTTTTCTCTAAGGTATTGAAATAGGCTTTTGAATTTTCTGACATTCCCAAAATAAATGTAAAAGTGTTTCTTCACAGCATTTACAAAAAGTACACATTTTATTATCAACAATTTTCATTTTAAAACAAAAGTGAGTTTGTAGCTAAAGTTCTATGAATAATTCTTGTTTGGAACCACTGAATATATGAATCTTTAGAACATTTGAAAACATAACTATATATTAACTGCCAATTAATGTTATTATCTTTAAAACATGTGTTCCACCTTTCTTGACTTGTAGGTATGTCTGAATTTTTAGCTATAATTTCATAAACATATTTCTTATTGTTATTCATAGTTAAAATAGGTTTAACATAAAAATTTATTATAGGATATTGAACATTAAGCAAATTGTTACTAATAGAAATATTTAACTTTTGCATGTACATTTTTATTGCCTGTTTTAAACTATGATACTGTAAAAAGTTCACAGGTTTACCTGTGACCTGTTCTAAATATATCAAATCTACAAAGTTACCCTGTTCATTTATAATATTTTTACAAATCTGATTCCTTTATTATATAATGTCTGAATGTAAATATATCTATTTCCTGCTACAAAGTTGTGATTGAAAAAAAAGTGGCATATGTAATACTTGCTCTATATTATCTATACAAAGTTTATCTACAAACACCATATAAGCTTTTAAAACATCAATCCAGAAAGAATTTGTTATTTTACTGATAATCAAATTACAAAACATCTTTCCAGTGTTAAAAATTTTATCAATATTAAACAATGTGTTTACTAGCTTATAACATTTACTTTTGCTATTACTAACATATCTTTTAAACCATTTTATCTTTAAACTATGTATATAACTATAAATATCAACCATGTTTAAACCACCTTCTATGTATGTTTTAATAAGTACTGATTGTTTTATTTTTGCCTTGCCTTCCCAAATGAAATCATAAAATAAGTCGTTAAGTGTTTTCAAAAATACAGTATTTGGTGTTGGTAGGCTTGTGAAACAATGAGTAAATAAAGGAAGCAATATTGACTTAATAACAGCAATTTTTCCTATTGGAGTTAATATTCTCTTTTTCCAGTGAATGATACTATTTTTTACTTTTACATATACTTATACATATCTTCGTTTTAATTTATAGAGTAAAATCTCAAATTAATGCATACTTATTGATGCATTTTAACGACTTTAACGTAAAAACGTAAACGTGAAGGTGGCACATTATGCCCTTCCATAGATTCCATACTGAAACATATACATGTCATAATACTGGATGTCACGCGGTCAAAGTCAAAGATGAATAACGGACACATGTACCATTGAAAATTTTAGTTTTACCGCGAACTCATTTTTCGTTCATCGCTCATCCCTTGACTTACCTTATTAAGGTAAAGGCTTAATCTCCGTCGTCGTGTATCATTGCAAACTAAATATCCCTTTTCAGCAGGAAAACAAATTTCATTGTTAGACACAGATGAGTTTAAGTCCGGCATAGACCAAAAAAGTGCCAATACAATTGCTAAAACTATCAAAACAAGACACAACATACAAAGGGTAATTATCTTAAATCTTGTCCCCATATCGATCTATTGTCGAAGAAAAAAACAACAAATATGTTACGCCGCCTTTTAAAGTATGCCTGCAAATGAATCAATTCACCGGGACTGTCACTTTATATAGGATAAATATGACTCACACATATATATATAACTTCGTTTATTCAACTAATTATCTGTAGCATTATAGATAAAACACAAATTTGTATATCAAGTGTATAACTGATTAACTGATGTCACTATTTGTTTAAGTGATAATGAGATTTTATATTGTAATTTTATCATTAATTACGCAAAAACAGCTCGTAAACCAACTCAGTACCTCCTAATTACGAGATATATCAAGTCTTCTTTCATTTTATCGTTTACTTCCAAAAAAAAGCCAGTAAATACTTTCATATCTGAAGATGAATGATGCGAGTGTCACAGGGTGAGAAAAATACGCAACCTGACCGGGACTCGAACTTTGCAACCTTTGAATACCGTTCCGCAGCTCTACCGACTTAGCTATCCGGCCGCTTATACATTTTCTCCCCTATGTAGTGAACAGTCCTGAACCGTGATTACTTCCCCGCAATGTTAAAAAATCGTCCCCGAAATCATCGGGGTTAAATACAGAGCAATGTGAATTAAACTTTGAGCTATACGCATTCACGGCCGCATATGTTGGTACCATATGTCACAGAGTAAGAAAATGTTCAGCCTGGCTGGGATGCGAAGCGATGACCCCCGGAATACCGATCCTTAGCTATCAAAAAGGTAATACAGTTTAGAGCCGTGACACGAGCACACGGTGCAAATATAACAATAAATATAATTACACGAAGAAAAGTTAGCCAAATTTCTTGACTGAATGATAAATATTATCAGCCATAGTTTTGGAATATCTAGCTAGCTAGCTAGTTCCAACTGCTCCACTTTTTTATAGGAACATATCATTTACATTTTCAGTCCAATGAAATCGCTCAATCTCTCTTTCTTTCACTGTCTTAATGGAGAATAAATGGCTCCGGAGTTTCCTCGCCAGACACCCACAGTTGTCAGACATAACCCCGGAAAACCTGGACAAGTCTAGAGTTAGAATGTCAAGTCAGATTGATTAATTGATTGATTTTCTGTAGACCAGGCGGTCAAGGATAACATACGAAATTGCAAGCACTAATTTCCAGTAGGGTCCTTACCTCAGCAGACTCTTGAAACAGCAATGAGATGCAAGGAAATCCGGAAACCAGTCCCTAGCTCTTTTTGAATAGATTCCTTGGTTCTTTTACATGCCCAGTGTATAGCACTGATACATGCGAGGATTACCTGGGTTTCGTACCAGTAAACCTCTTGTTAATACCAGCTGAGCTATCGCGCCACCTTGTCAGCATACAATGGACGGGTGGTTTGAGCTCCTTAAGAAAATTTTGAGGGACAAAAAGCTCGAAGGTAACTTTTATAACAATTGCAAGTTTCAGTATTGTTTTATTTTATGGTCCTTCGGGATCATTGATGCCAGCATTATTAAGTGTTGAGAATTAAGTGTTTGGTAAATGGACCACTGAATACCAGAACTGAAATCTGGCGAAGCATCTGGGCTTCGCCAACCCAAGCGTTTCAGTTGGAAGAGCGAGGTTTCCAGTAGTACTGCGTCACGCAATTGAAAAGACGACACCCTCCACTGTTAGATAGGCGTTTCCGGCTACCGGCATAGTGCCATATAACCCGCAAGTTATAGATAAATTAGTTCCAGCAACTTTTACAAAACAAATAACAGAGAGTATGTATTTACTGTTTATCGTTTATCGTTTCATTTATTTAAACAGTTCCATAAAATAAAAACAAGAATAAAGATCAACGTTCTCAGGACGCAGCACCCTGACACACCCAAGTAGGGCCCCAGAAGGCACCATAAGTTCACTTTTGGAGTAATTCGTTCGTTGTCCGTTTTCTTTCTTTCCACACCTAATATTAAGTTTTTATCGTTTCCTCTTTAATCTAAATAGACTTTTATACTGTGACAGTCACTATATTTAGATTCTTAAATAATAAAATTGATTTTTTCGTTCTTTCAAAAATATAACAAGCAAATTCGTTGAATTTATATCCCCCGCCGAGTACTGGTTATTATTAACACAACAACTGAAGACATAAGGCTTTATTTATATATTAATCATCATAGGCATAAACAGTAATATTCTTTGAACTTGATAAATATTCAGGGCAATAACAGAGCCATAACTTTGTGTTAAATAGTAATATCTGGAAATGCCAATGAGATGTATGCATACTACATAACTAATCAAGGGCCATAAATCTGAGTTATAAGTATCTGACCGGAACAAGGCGACTATATGCACATCTCCTCTTAGAATCCCATAAAGTTTCATTGAATTCCAGCCAGTAGTTGCAGAGAAGTAGCGAGGAAACGAATATTTTTCTATATGGATACTGCATAACTAATCAAGGGCAATAACTCTGAGTTAAAGTGTCTGACCCCAACAAGGCAATGATATGCACATCTTCTCTTGGTATTGAAGGTTCCCATAAAGTTTCATTGAATTCCAGCCAGTAGTTGCAGAGAAGTAGCACGGTAATGATTTTTGCTCTATATGCATACTGCATAACTAATCAAGGGCCATAACTCTGAGTTTAAGTGTCTGTCCAGAACAAGGCGACGATATGCGCATCTCCTCTAGGTATTGAAGATTCCCATACAGTTTCGTTGAATTCCAGCCATTAGTTGCAGAGAAGTAGCGCGGAAACGATTTTTTTCTCTATATGCATACTGAATAACTAATCAAGGGCCATAACTCTTAGTTTAAGTGTCTGACCGGAACAAGGCAACGATATGCACATCTCCTCTTGGTATTGAAGATTCCCATAAAGTTTCATTGAATTCCAGCCAGTAGTTGCAAAGAATTAGCGAGGAAACGATTTCTACTCCATATGCATATTGCATATCTTATTAAGGGCCATAACTCTGAGTTAAAGTGTCTGACCGGAACAAGCCGACGATATGCGCATCTCCTCTTGGTATTGATGATTCTCATTAAGTTTTTTTTAATTCCAGCCAGTAAAGCTTTCGACAAGGTATGGCATGATGGTCTTCTCTATAAATTAAAAAATGCTGGATTAAATGGAAAATTGCTCAACTGGTTCTCTGATTATCTTTCTAACAGACGTCAATGTGTCGTTCTTCCAGGAGCTCATTCTAATTGGTCAACTGTAAATGCAGGAGTTCCTCAAGGATCTATTCTTGGACCTCTGTTGTTCCTGGTATACATTAATGATATTGTTGACGATTTAAACTCAAGCATACACCTCTTTGCCGATGATACTAGTTTGCACATAATTGTTGACTATCCAATAGCTGCCGCGACAACTCTTCAATCTGATATTGACAAAATTTCAAGTTGGGCTGATAAATGGCTTGTAACATTCAACCCTTCTAAATCGGAAACTATGATCATGTCACGCAAAACAAATAAGCCTTATCATCCGCCACTTCTAATGCATGATCAGCCTATCTCCTCAGTAAATAGTCATAAACATCTTGGTCTTTACTTTTCGGATGATTGCTCTTGGCATGTACATATTAATTCTATCAAAGAGAAGGCTTGGAAAAGAATTCATATCATGAGAAAACTTAAATTTACACTAGACAGAAGATCACTAGAAGTTATATATCTATCATTCATAAGACCTCTCATTGAATATGCAGATGTAGTCTGGATCAACTGTACACAATATGAAAAACTTGAACTTGATAAAATTCAACATGAAGCCGCCCGTATAGTCTCAGGGGCCACTAAACTTGTATCTCTTCAGGAACTTCAAAGAGAAGTACTTTGGGAATCCCTCGAAAGCCGTAGACAGAATCACAAACTTATTTTGTTTTACAAAATGAAAAACGGTCTCACACCAGATTATTTATCGTCCTTAGTTCCACCATCAGTTGGAGAAACGTCTAGGTACAATTTACGAAATGCTTCTGACATGCAAACAATACGTACAAGAACTTCTCTTTACCATAATGCATTTCTGCCATCTACTTTGAGAGATTGGAACTTACTATCAACAGAGGTACAAAACTCAATATATTTGTCCTCTTTTAAAACGCAACTTAAAGGTAATATAAAAAATGCCCCAAATATTATTACATAGGTGAAAGAAAATGGCAAGTCATGCATAGAACAGAATGTAGCTCTTTAAACCATCACTTATTCAGAAAAAATATGTCCCCCTCACCAAATTGTCAATGTGGTCTCCTGGAAAGTAACCACCACTTCTTCTTTGAGTGTCACTTCTATAATGATATCAGACTCAGACTATTTGATGCTGTTTCTAATGTCTGTACTATAACACTTCATACCTTACTAAACGGAGACCAGAATCTTAGCCATGACATTAATTCTAAAATTGTTCAAGCAGTTCATGTATATATACGTGAAAGTAACCGATTTTCATGAGCAAATAATTTGCCAACTTGACCTATCCGAATGAATCTTCTTTACCTTCTTTCTAATTCTTTTCAATTATTTATATTCTTTAAAAAAAGATCTTTTGAACAATAGCTAAAATCTTCGATTTTTTTTTTCGTTTCAAATATGTTAAAAATTAACTTCATTGTTTCAAACAATATTGCAAACACTGTCATAATTTAACTGCATTGTACAAATATGTAGGAGAAGACCTTTATAAGCTTTATAGCTTTCGGCTCTAATCCTTTTTCATTCATGTATCTAATTATTGTAAATGTAAACAACATGATGTACTTGTATCATTGTTTGAAATAAACTATGTTTAAACTAAACTAATTCCAGCCAGTAGTTGCAGAGAACTACTCCGGAAACAAAATTCGGACGGACGGACGGACCGACGGTCAGATGCGCATCTCCTCTTGATATTGATGATTCCCATAAAGTTTCGTTGAATACCAGCCAGTAGTTGCAGAGAACTACTCCGGAAACGAAATTCGGACGGACGGATGGACGGACGGACGGACAACGCCAAAACTATATCCCCCTCCCGATTCCATCGGCGGGGGATAATTAGCTTATTTCACTTAAGACAAGGTTGACGTCAAAGTATTAACGTCAAGAGCTCAATACCTGACCTCCTAAACTAGCTTATAACGATTTCAAATTTAATAATAAAATTCTCAAATTTTCTGCAATTACCGCTGGAATACTGCTTATGTGAACAATATTTTTTAAACCATACAAGCCATTACTTTGGCTTAATTGTAGCTATATACCGCCTGGTACTGCAGTCTGCATAATTTTGACAATGTGGTACACCCCGCACGGGCCTCATACAGGATTGTCTGTGTAATTGGAAGTACATTAACCAGCTTGAACCTAGCTGTATTGTGTTAAAATGTCGGGTATCTAGCATTAAAAATATGGAAAATGTTTAAAACGTGTCCGGTTGATGGTCGCCAACCAGTATATAACCTATAAACATTCGTATTGATTAAGACATTTATGCATATTAATGTAAATTATTTTATTGCTTACGTATATTTTTAATGTTTATAATTCAAGTAATAGAAAGAGCATCGAAACACCAGGCTATCTGATGTGTACGAGGGGGCGTAAACCCCGAGTATTAATCAGATTGCCGAGTGTTTTGATGTTCTTTCTCTTTTGTATCATAGTCAAACATAAAAACGCGTTCACAATATGAAACCCCAGAAAAAAGTAACCACTGAACGAGCATCTGAATATGATATTTCTGTCGCTTTCCCTTTCTCTGTCGTCAGAATAAGTAAACCCTAGCAAAATTGAGCCAATCAAAGGGCATGCTGTGGAGTGCGGTTGACTAATACCAGCACTCCAGTTAACACACTGTGCATGTATATGTATACGATTTAACTCCGACACATTTTCAACAGAAAGGTCCCCAAACTATGATACAATGATTTTTAGAAAAATAGTCACTTACTAAATAAATACTTATTAATAATGGTTTGCAGGCATAGCGTTTATGATATTTCTGGGAATAGGGTTTTGATCACGGGACAATTTTTTACGGTAACGTTGGGTCGCCACTGATATTTTTTGAAATGTTGAAAGATATAACGAAAAGTTAAGATAACCCAATTTGACCGTAAACAAATGTCACATGATCTTCCCTTTTGTTAAGATTTCCTTGTAGATCGTCTCACAGGGTCCCGATGGTTATTTGCTATTAATAAATGTCTTGTTGACATGATTTAGGATTTAGCTATCTTTAGCAAATGTTGAAAAATATAACAAAAAGTTAAGGTATCGCAATTTTATCCTTAACAAAAGTCACGTGATCACCCACTTAAAATCGTCTCGATTATTATTGTCTATAAATAAACGCTTTGATGACATGATTTAGGTCAAGGATTTAGCCAGCTTATTTTAACCACTTGATATGAATTACCTACGGAAGCGTCCTGGTGCCAATTCGTAATGTTCTATAATAAAATAAAAAAACTCCTACGTAGGAGATAGAAAAACCTAATTAGGAGCTTGTAACTCCTACGTAGGACTTTATAACTCCTACGTAGGACTTTAAAACTCCTACGTAGGAGATAAAAAAAAGCCTAATTAGGAGTTTATAACTCCTACGTAGGACTTTTAAACTCCTACGTAGGACTTTATATCTCCTACGTAGGACTTTGTAAGTCCTACGTAGGACTTTATAACTCCTACGTAGGACTTTATAACTCCTACGTAGGACTTTTTAACTCCTACGTAGGACTTTATAACTCCTACGTAGGACTTTATAACTCCTACGTAGAACTTTTTAACTCCTACGTAGGAGATAAAAAGGCCTAATTAGGAGTTTATAACTCCTACGTAGGACTTTTAAACTCCTAAGTAGGACTTTTTAATTAAAAAATCCTAATTAGGAGTTTGTATCTCCTACGTAGGACTTTTTGACTTTATAAGAAATGCATACAGAATGCTTTGCAAATCTCAACATTCCGGACCGGTATATCGGCGAAGGTACAAGACACTTAAATTAAATATAGAGGACATTTCACCTTTGGTTCAAACAGAATTTATTTATGTTTGATTGTGTAGGAAGCTATAAGCTTATAGACACACTTTCGAATCCGTTCCTGGAACCAACCAGTACGTACTTAGCAATGAGTGTAAGTTTCTTGCTCAAGGAAACAACGGCTTGCGCCTAACGGGGTTTGAACCCATGCGGCTAGCGATCATTAGGCTACCAGTCACACGGCCATGCCGCCACACTTCACTTTTTAATAAAGTGGCTCAGGTTTCTTAGGGTGAGGTGTCTGTAAGCATTGGCGATGTATCCCCGAAAAATTGCTTTACAGCTATCCGAAAAAAACTTACTCGACAACAAGCATATATATCAAAATTTTAAAAGGCTTTAACGATTACGTTTTCCATACGAACTAGCTGAACAAAACCGAGTAATTTATCCATTTTCAGCCGTTTCAAATGATTAAATCCTTATAGGGGCAGGGGGAGTAGTGAAGTGTCTTGTTCCTGCTCCGTAAAGTTTAAGAAGATAACAGTTTGCGGAGCATTATGCATGCATATGTTTAATAATGAATTACATTATATATCCTACTTTGAACAAAGTTTAACCCATACATTTTGTGTACATGTGTATAATAATTATAACTAAACGTACATAATACAGAATCATCGTTTAATATATAACTCCTAATTAGGCTTTTTTTTATCTCCTACGTAGGAGTTTATTTTTTTTATTGAACATTATGAATTGGCACCAGGACGCTTCCGTAATAACCTCAACTATTAATCTAGATTTAAATAATGGTAGCGTACATAACAAAAATAAAGTGTCTGTACACGCATTTTGTTTTGTATTCTTACATTAACAATTTCTTATTTAAGTAAATAAAATTTGAATAGATCACCTATGAAAAGGTTAGTGTTTGTTAGCATATTTGGAATTAACCTTTCACCTACTTATTTGTGAAATTAAGTTTTAACTATTTACATAGACCTAATATGATGCTTTGATTTTACGGGATATTGTTGTTGCAGATAAAATAAACTAAATGTATCAAAGAATTTGAAAAAAAATAATAGAACGATCTCATTGGATAAAACAATTTCAACCATTAGAAAGAATTGTTTAAGTCCGATTTTTTTATACTGAACACGTTGAATAAAAATTATATTTTTCTCGCCAGAGTCGTTCAGCACGACATTATTGTTGTGCTTGTGGTACTTTAGTTCTTTTCATTTTGGGTGGTTCCAGTATTCCTTACTTGAATATTGTTGAATCACCCTTAGGATATGTGGCCTGCTTTTTAAATTTGTCTATTGACGTCTTATCTATGATATGCAGGCTTCATAACCTCTGATCTCCTTTCCAAAGTCCATTTTATTTAGTTCCAGTTATTGTGCTTAAGCCGGTGCTATGGGGCGTGGACGGTAGTTTGCACTTGACAGTACCGTCCATGAACAGGCTCAATCAAACCAAGCCTGTAACATATTTTTTATTTTGCCGTGTAAAATTGCGTGCAATATCATAAATTGCAATTTCACAGCCCTGTCCGTCAAACTTTGGATAAGGACCTCTAACTCAGATCATGTCGACCCGCAACGTGTGTTGTATTTTTGAGTTCGACCGAGAATATGTGATTTTCATAATATTTCTGCAGAAGGGAATAGAGATCAGGTTCAAGAGTTCGATTGATCGGTGTTCGGGCGATCCGAGATAGAACAATATTCATTATATGGGAACTCTGCCAGGCTGGGTGATCAGTTCGAGCGAAGGGATATTAGAGCGATCCGAGTTCGAGCGAATGAAGTTAAACTCAATCTATAAATGTATTGCTTTCACATTACTTATAAAAAGGTTGTATGTGTTGCATATTGGTTATGTTTTAGTATAATTTATACGAATATATAATATGTTTCACCTGTAAAGACAAATATGTGTACCTGTGTAAATACAAACGTTTCTGACTGCAATAAAACTCAACCCGGCTCCATTCATGAAAGCAATCGAGTCTGTAATGGTCTGTAATGGACGTTATCCCAAAACGCAATGTCTTCGCCAATCTATCTTCTACTGAGTTTGTGCTTCTGATAAACATGACAACAAGATAAACATGTTGCTTATACCAATTCCTGAAATAATATAATTAGTTAAAAATAAATTCAAATTCAATATATACTATATTTTAACAATATAAAAAAATCAGATGTTCGCTTTCATTTAGTTTAGATATGACTGTAAAACCTCAGTAAAGGCAACTGTGAATAAATTTTGAACTAAAGTTTATTACCCTACTGATTAAATGAATACATTACTGCCATTAATTTACTAGGAACTGACCAAAACAACTTGATCAGTAACAAAGAATTCAGCCTTAAACATAGTTTATGTATTCCTTCATTAAAAAATACATAAATTCAGGAGAAATTTCCTTAATTTCAATGAATTTTTGCAATACAGGTATCGTGCACTTAGATGATAGTTTATCTTCAATTAACAGAACAAAGATAAGAAAGGCACTAACAATGCTGACAAAATTAACGCCAAATACTTCACATAGTCCAAAACTAGAAACAATTGCTAATCCCGCAGACAAACTTCCACCATAACCAAGCCATATGCGTTGTCAAACTTGCTCAATAAATATTCATGACTGTGATTAAGATAAATTAAAATGTTCATACACTACAAGTAACAGATCATGTGACAAGAGTGAAAAGTTCATCAATACTGTACAAATGTTATGTAATTCCTTATAACAATGCACAAACATTCTTGGTACAAATGTGAGCCTATTTAACTAAACCGTTATGTCGGCACAACCTAGAATTCATCCTTGGTTTGGACAATTTACAAACTTTTTAAACACTTAAGTTATGTAATTCTCTTTTTTTATATATATAATGTTGCATGTGTTTCAAATTTGAATTTTCGTAATAATATCAGCTGTCATTAAAATATTTTTAAAGGAATCAAGTGTATCAATTACATCCATTGACATTCACGAATTCTTTAGCATACAAATTTAACTCAAAACTCTCGTTATTTTTTAAATGTTTTATCGGTAGAAACTCTACCGTTTGTAATAGACAAGTAATATTTCAATACATCAAGTAATGTTTCTACTATGTGACGCCAGAAAGTAACAATGATATCTGTAATATTACATATTATGTAACAATAAAGACAGAAATATAACTTAGAAAGATTAAGGAATTCACATTAACAAACAACCTTCTTTGATTATATCAGAGATAGATATGGAGAAAATGTATGGATATTTTTCTGTGTCTTTAAGAACATTAATATGGTGACTGTTGTAGTTATTCAAAATTCAGTCCAAAAAAATCAAAAATACGTAAACTGAAGAAACCCCGTCCCTCTCGCAGAACAATAGCACTACCATCCTAATAAAATTTATAGGAAGGACAAATTGTCCTTCTCTTAGAACACGCATAATGACAAACTACAAAAGAGAATAGCTGTTTACACTATATTAATAGTTAGATCATATAAATTAATAAATTCATATTTTTACATCACTATATATATTATTTCAAAAGCGATTCATGTTAACTAAGTACATGTAGATTTATTAGATGTTTTTATGCTGTAATAATATTTATATTGTTATCTCATTAATCACTGCAAATATTATCAGTCTGACCATTTAATAATTTTGACATGTGTATCTGCTTATGGTTCATCACAAAATATATGATATATATTATAAACAAACGTAAAGAGACTGGTATGACTTGTAAATCTCATGGGAGGGATTCTGTCCTATCTGAGAGCTCCTGTCAACTTTGTCATTTTCGGTGGGTAGGCTTTTGTCCGGTAGGGAGACAAGAATATAGACACTCTTATAACATTAACGTGTAAGGCATTAAAAGGAATGTGAGATCTTTATTGACCACCAAGCTTTCGAAAATGAAGAAAATGCACGAGTGGGAACTCGAGGTCTTCCATTGGCAGTAAAGCTTAAAAGTCTTCAAATATCCATTAAAATAAATAAACAAACTAACAAAAGCATCTTTTGTTCCATTTTCATCAGAGCTTATTTGTAGAGACTGTTTAAGCATCTTAACGGAAACTGAGGGTCAGGTCCTTCATACACACAGAGTAATTCGAATCTTACATTGTATTGATCTCTACCAATATTATTTGAACTATTTGAATGAACTAAACAGATTTTGCGGCTCTTTTTAAACACAAGTCAAAAGTCTCCCTTAAGTACACAGAGCTGACTTGTATACTCTATTTGTGCGTTAAAGCGGACATTGAGTGTCAGGTCCTTCGCAAAAATAAAACGGAGAGATTTGAACTTCTTGTTGTCATGCGTAATTTTGTTTTGAATGTAAAGTTAACGCAAATTGAAGAAAATCGAATTTGCCCAAAGTTCATTTTGAACCAAAAGTCAATTTCTCCCTTAAGTACACAGAGCTGACTTGTATACTCTATTTGTGCGTTTTAGCGGACATTGAAGGTCAGGTCCATCGCAACAAACGGGGAGATTTGAACCAAAATTTTGTTGTTGAAGTTATTGTTGTTGTTGTTGTTATGCTTGATTTAATTTGTGTTCTATATGTGAAGTGAACGCTACTTGAATCGATTCGAATTTGAATGAACTTAATTTTAAACCTAAAGTCAAAGTCTCCCAGTACACAGAGCTGACTTGTATACATTATTCGTGCGTCTAAGCGTACACTGAGGTCAAGTCTTCTCAACACACAGAGAGAACTGAACTTTTCGTTATCATGCCAAACGTTGGGTTTTGTATGTGAATTGAACACTATTTGCACCAAGCAATTTTTACAACCCGTTCGTTGAGAAAAAAGTATTCTTCTGTATTCAGAGCTGACTTGCTTACTCTAATTGTGCGTTTAGCGAAAATGGAGGGTCAGGTCATATGCAAAAAACGTGAGTTTTGAAATTTTTCGTTATCAAATTTATGACGTCACGAATTTATTCATATTAAAGTACAAATGTACATAATTATATACCTCTCACTATTTAATTGTCATTTAATGTACAGGTTGAATTAACTTCGTTCTAGTTCCACCGCATTAAAGTTAGTTACTTGTATAGAAATAATGTACGATAAAGAAACAAATTCAAACATTTTTGTTTGAGGCATTCATAAATAATCAATATGATTTGAACCATAAGAAAAGTTACAGAATCAATTTATACAATTTTGTAAGGTGGATTATTATATTAAGAAAGAACTTCCACATCGATTTTCCTAAAAAAAAAACAAGTCTATCAGTAACTCGATTTATATTAGGAACGCAAATAAATGTTGATGTATCTTTGCACTGTGCACTGCACAGATTACGTGCCTCTCGCATGATAACATATCTCTCGACTTCTCACGAGGACTAAGCATACTCTACTTGTATTTGAGACAGACGATATCTTTAGCCTTTCTGTTATCTTTAAACTGATTGTCATTTTATTATTTGTAGGTCAATGTTCAGATGCAACTATTTTAGTTTTTAAGTCAGAATTAATTTTACTCTACACGAATAACCAATGGAACGTCAATCATTTTTTTTTTTCATTTTTTTATTTATTTATTTTATTTTACTTCTTATCTTTTTTTTTTTTTTTAGAAAAAAGGGGCTTTGATTTATAGAGATGCTAGTGTGTATGAACAAAATATAAGTAAGACGGATAGTAAAGAATTTAAAATATCGGGTTAAAATACATGATATGTAGGTTAAGTAGTGGTTCAAAAACTATAATCTTGAAATAATTTTAAAGCATAAACAGTTCCCTTCATCATCACAATGCAGTCATTTCATAAAACATCTTGCTTTTCTTGCCACAAAAATCAAATTTCAATGTATATGATCAAGTAAAAATGATAAATAAATAAGTTTTATTTATACCTCATATGTTAACAACACAATGACATTGGCATGGTGTGAATTGTAGTTTATTTTATACTTTTATCACAATGAACACAAAGCTAACAACACAAGATATTTGGTTGCAGGCAGTCTCCGAGAAATCGTTTTAATTTTTGAAAACAAAAAAAACAATATGAATGTAGAGGGAAACTTGTCAATTTGTTACGTCAATGTACATGTAACTTTATGTATTTTTCCTCCGACTGAATGAAATAAATATTTTAAAGCTAAATTTATTTCTCCTCTCAGCGAAAAAGGCAGGCAAATGTTTGACAATGAGCAGGTTTGTGGGCTTTGAAGATCATGACTTTAGCGATAACGTAGATACCTTACATGAATGCTCTAATCAACGTATTACACTCGGGACAATATTGAAGACGCTCCAAACATGAATGGCATAGATAATGTTTGTAAGGCCGACAACTCACCAAACGTACAATATCACATTTCTGCTGACAACCATCACACAATCCAAACTTTCCATTAACAATTGTCCGCACTAGTGAGAAAGAAAATATGAGAGAAAAATAACTAAGTGAAATATTCTTTACAGTTCGTCATTAATTGATCATATTTAACCAAAATATTAGATATTACACATTAATTGATCATATTTAACGATAATGTCATACATTCCAAATCGAGCCATATTAAGTTACCACGAGTAACTTTGCAACATGAAACTTACTTTATATATAGTTTTCATGTACTGCATGCACTAATTACTTATAATTATCAATTGATTCTAAATATTCTTCTGCAAAATGTCACTGTTATGTTGTTATTGCACTTACTTGATATGAAAATAAAACGTGGCAAAATCTTAACTGATAATGTTTTATATTTTTTAGGCAATATGCGTACCTTCACGTCGAGTTTCAGTACCTTCACGTCGAGTTTCAACCAACATCATTCCAATGAAACGTCTAGTTTTAACCAACATTATTCCAATGAAAAGTATAGAAACAGACAATCCAGCAAAAGCTAGCATTATATAAATACTTGTCAGTTTGCAGGGCACATCTGACGCTAAAACTACTGAAAATAAAATGTATTTAATTGTTTACTTTTAAAGAAGGAACTTATTAACGACGTAATTTCATCAGTGAAATTAAACTTCAGATAAATATCTCAAAAGTATCGATTTCAAAAAGATTAATTTAAGCAGTTGAACTATTAATTTAAGTAAATGGTTTTAGACAAACATTATGTTTCAACATTTTGTAGTTAAAATGAGTATGCGTTCAGAATAATGTTTATGAATTTCAAGGAAAATTAGTTTCTTTTTTCAAAATAAACTGCGAAATTCATTAATCATAAAATGTTAAACAAGAGAGCCATGATGGCCCTGAGGTCGCTCACCTGTATATAGGCCCCCGACCCCCCCAAAAGTTGCAGGGCCAATATAACCCAAGGGCTTTTATTTGCACAAACTTGGTAGACACCCATAAGAAGATGTTTCATGCTAAACTTCTAAGTTCTAGCTCATTGGGCTTTTTAAAAGAAGATTTTTTAAAAGTTTTTACTATACATACACATATAGTTAAAAACAATGACACCCCTGGGGCCGGGCCAGTTTTGACCCCAGGGCTTTTATTTGAACAAACTTTGTAGACACTTACTAGAAGATGTTTCATGCTTAATATCTAAACTCTAGCTATTTGGGTTTTTTCAAAGAAGATTTTAAGTTTTTGCTATACACACATAAGGAAAATCAAAGACCCCCGGGGCGGGGCCAATTTTGACCCCAGGTCTTTTATTTGAACAAATTTTGTAGACACTCACTAAAAGATGTTTCATGCTTAATATCTTAACTCTAGCTATTTGGGTTTTTTCAAAGAAGAATTTTTAAGTTTTTGCTATACACATATAAGGAAAATCAATGACCCCCGGGGCGGGGCCAATTTTGACCCCAGGGCTTTTATTTGAACAAACTTGGTACACACCTATTAGAACATGTTTCATGCTAAATATCTTAGCCATAGCTCTTTGAGTTCTTTAAAAGAAGGTTTTTTAAGTTTTTACTATATTCATGTAGGGAAAATCAATGACCCCCCGGGGTGGGGCCTATTTTGACCCCAGGGCTTTTATTTGAACAAACTTGGTAGACACTTATTAGAACATGTTTCATGCTAAATATCTTAGCTCTAACTCATTTGGTTCTTTAAACGGAGATTTTTGAAGTTTTTACTATATGCATATAGGGAAAATCAATGACCCCCTGGGGTTGGGCCAATTTTGACCCCAGGGCTTTTATTTGAACAAACTTGGTAGACACCCATTAGAACATGTTTCATGCTAAATATCTTAGCCATAGCTTTTTGAGTTCTTTAAAAGAAGATTTTTAAGTTTTTACTATATGCATATAGGGAAAATCAATGACCCCCTGGGGCGGGGCCAATTTTGACCCCAGGGCTTTTATTTGAACAAACTTGGTAGATACTCACTAGAAGATGTTTCATGCCAAATATCTAAGCTCTAGCTCTTATGGTTTTTTAAAAGAAGATATTTAAAGTTTTTTCTTTTGGTTGCCATGGCAACCAGAGTTCTGCATGGAATTAAATTCTTTGAACGATTTTTAAAGGTGACCACCAAAGGAACATTCCTGTGAAGTTTGGATGAAATTGGCTTAGTGGTTTATGAGGAGATGTCATTGAAAGAAAAAGTTTACGGACGGACGACGGACGGCCGACGGACGGACGCCAGACGAAAAGTGATCACAAAAGCTCACCCTGTCACTTTGTGACAGGTGAGCTAAAAACTCAATAGCAAATTTTCGATACAATTTTGCACTTCTGTTGTGTATTGATTCAAATGGGTAAAAGTATACAATGGTATATAAATATTTTAAAGTGGCATTAGTAAGTGACAGGTGAAAGTCAAAATAAGTAAACATTTTTACCATAATCCCATTTAATTTTATTTTTTATTCACATTAACGATAAGTAACTGTAAACAAGGATATTTCTATAAATATCCACCGGAAATTGATATCCGCCGGAAATTACCTGTAATATTCAGTTTATAAAAAATAGGCGTCGTTTTATATATTTAGTGAAATTTATATTTCATTACAACTGTTGGTCATTAAGTCTTTAAACAGTCATTTTTTAAATATATAGTAAATTCAGCTTCACTTGATAAGGAAAAAATAAGCATCATATAGAGAAAACGGAATCCCTAAAGACAAAATTGAAAATGTTGTTAGCTTGGTTTGATTGAGCAAGTTCATAAAAAGTGCAAGGTACTGTCCTTGCCCCCTAATTCCGGCTTAAGCAGAATTCAAAATTTAACCATAAAAAATCGTGAAAATTTAAATTAAGAAATATTATTAAATATAAACGTCACTTTGATATAAATGTACAATTGGGACAATTATCATGAATAAACCAAATCCTTTCTTTATATCACATTTTTTAAAAATCTTTATTAACAAATCGATGTAATATTATTGAAAAGAATATAAAACAATCATACCATACAATGAAGTCTCAATGTTTTCTTCCAGGTTTATATAGCTCGAAGTGTTTTTAACTAGGAATATATGATTGTGTATGCATATTTCGAACATCTGGGCACCATCGTTAAGGTCAATCTTTCCTTGAGGTATTATCTTTAAATATATAATTAGCGATATACATACTGTGTGTTTACATAAATTACATTAAGATAAATACTTTTATGTTACAATTTAAAGTACATATCTCAGTAAAATCAATATCCAGTCACAAAATATATTTAATCGTTTTAGAAAAGTTGTCAAAGTTTTAAGCAACGCCGTAGTGACCCAGAAGTCAGAATGTAAGAACTTTCTTTTAAAATGGAGATTCGAAAGGTATCAAACATAGATGGTAAAAAATTAAATTTTGCCAATCCCAAATTTGCCCATTCATACACATAAAAATATCAAAGTTAAATAACATAAGTTTATTTCAATGTTTACAAAACGCCTGCTACAACGGATATATCCGGGGCCTTGTAAGCGGAAATAGTTAATTTTATAGTACACCGTGGGTAAGCAACTTTGGTCACGTGACCACAAAAGTCAACGTACACGGCCAAAATACCTCGGCTGAGGTAAGTTTTCTATTGATTATTTTTCTGTCTAGCCGATTTAAATTATGCTACATAGCCTACCGACCGCGGCAGTTCCGATGCTTTCTAAAATGTATTTAGTTTCGTCTAACGTTTTGTACTTTTTGAGAACATTCAAACAATATTTGCAAATTGTCGATGACAACGTACACACTATTGTGTAAAAGTGTTGATGAAAGCTTAATAAACGATACGCATGTCATTTCTTAGTAAAATTTCAGGTCTTAAAATATATAAGAGAATGTTTTAATGAAAAAGGAACTAGTTTCCCTCGTTAATTTTTTGTATTTATTTAAAAATTGACCAACTTACAGAAATGTCAACGTACACATACAGTCTAGAAAATGTCAACGTACACACTCACAATTCAGTTTGATAGTGGTCTGAACATAAGGCTGCAACTTCGGAGTAGGTGGCTTTTTCTAACAAAAAGTTAGCTTTCAATTTAGATTGCCCTCTCAAATGTATATAAGTACAGGTTTATACAAAGGAAAAAAGTTGCAAGTACATTCATATCATCACAAATAAGCTTAAACAACCTTTAACTTTTTTAAAATGTAATTTATTTGTTCTTTTGTGGTTTTCTTTTAGAAGAAAAAAAATTCCAGTTACTCAGATTGCTTAATGATTTGCTGAAACAGCAATTTTAAACTGTATTAATTTAGATCATTTTACAGTCATTTAATAACGAAAACAGAGGATAAGCGTTGCTCAACCAACCTAGTGCCTTCTGTAGCAACAAAAGTTGCCAATCAGAGATTTTTTTTTTCAATTTTCAAAACAACCTGTGGCTTTCTGAAGGATAAGATATAACGCGATCAATCAGAAAAGGGGGAAAACCTGAAATCAAATTCCAACAACTGAAAATGAAATTTACCCACACATTTTATGAAGAAAAAAAATCAATTCTTTTAACATGCATGGTACATATATACACAGAGGCTATATATAGGGACAGATTTCTGTCCTCTAGATGATATAAGTAAGTTGCTGTTAAGTCACGGTTCTGGTAATGAAGATCACTAGGCATTTAAGGGGAAATATTAGCACTTTTAGTGGAAAATAAACTTTTTTTGGGCTAGGGGAAACAGCCTTTATTCGGCTGTAAAATACAGTGAAAAAATCACTACGGCAATGGGTTACAATGACGCCGAGTGACTAGTTTATAGGTATTATCAGTATTTCAGCAGTTATGTCATTTTAACCCTATGATTACATAACGAACGTTCTATTAACATTATATTTTCAATAATATATCTCCTTGCACTAGTTATATAATTGCCACATGTTATAGACATTGTTATTTAATACATGGGCTAGCTTAATAGACGTGATATATATTTTTGCATTCACAGTTTTCTTTGCCCTTTTTGTTTCACTGCAAATTTTGCCAACCATGTCTACTTATTTACAAGTCTATGATATGTATTCAACAAAAATGCCATACATTTTAATAATTTGCATTGCAATCAAAATTTTAAATTCAAGCAAACCATTTTATTTGAGCAAAATGTCGATAAAATTTCTGCATTGTAACAATCATTTCAATATATATTGTGGCATTCCTATGATTACTAGTGGGTCATATGACTGTGGTACTTGATATAACTTTTTAAATGTTTAAACAATGTCATTGATTCATATCTATAGCTCATACATTGCGCACAAAATAAGATAGGTAAATTTATTACTAGAAACCATTTTCCGGTAAATTTATTACTAGTAACCATTTTCAGTAACTGGTTTCTTGAGCAAAAAAAGCATTTTACTCGAAACTTGGTACTAGTAACTTACCATTTAACAAAAGGGTAATTTCTTGCCTTAACCAACCTATAAAATTGTGAATTGTTTATAAGATATTTTTTACATAACAAGTGCAAGTAGATATATTCTTGAAATATAATGTTAATAGGACATAAATGATGTGATCAAGTGACGCAACTGCTGAAAAACCGGTAATATAAAATTGTAACTCGGCATCACCGTCAACCTTGGACCCTTTTACTGCTACGGAAGGCACTAGTTGGTTGAGCAAGAGACCCTTATCCTGGCTGTTTACGTTATTAAGATGACTGTTTTTACGATCTTTTTTGTAATACGATCTATATTAATCCAGTTTAAAATATAAAAGCGGCTGTTTCAGCTAATCATTAAGCAGTTTGAGTAACTGGAAATATGTCTTCTAAAAAAAAAAAAAGTACAAATAAATAACATAAAAAGTTAATGATTGTTTAAGCTTATTTCCGATGAAATGAATGCACTCCAAACTATTTCTTTTGTAAAATTAATAGTAATTATATACAGTTTGAGAGGGCATCTAAATTGAAAGCTAACTTTTTGTTGAAAAAAAGCCACCTACATGTATTTCGAAGTAACAGCCACTATCAAACTAAATTTGGAGTGTGTACGTTGACACTTTCTAGACAGTATGTGTACGTTGACATTTCTGTAAGTTGGTAAATTTTTAGATAAATACAAAAAAATGACAGCAGGAAACCAGTTCTTTTTTCATTAAAACATTCTCTTATATATTTTAAGACCTGAAATTTTACTTAGCACTGACATGCATATCGTTTATTAAGTTATTATCAACACTTTTACACAATAGTGTGTACGTTGTCATCGACAATTTGCAAACATTGTTTGAATGATCTAATAAAATACAAAACGTCGGACGACATCAAATACATTTTTAGAAAGCATCGGAACAGCCGCGGTCGGTAGGCTATGTACCATAATTTGAATTGGCTCGATAGAAAAATAATCACTAAAAAACTTACCTCAGCCGAGGTATTTTGGCCGTGTACGTTGACTTTTGTGGTCACGTGATCAAAGTTGCTCACCCACTGTGAGTATACTACAAAACATTTGGTTTACAAATACACCTGTTCTATTTCATACATTGACTTTTTCATGTGTACTGTAATGAGTATAATATGTCTTGTAAAGTGTCTGTTCTTATTTTTTCATAGAGTTCTGAAGCTGTTAGAGGGTCATATAGGTCATATAACCCTGACAACAAGAGCCTTTCTTGCGAATGTCAATAAGAAAAGCTTCTAAAACATTTAGTTTTCACTACAGTACCTTACAAGACAGAACTAATGGAAAAGTTATTGAAGATGTTGAGGAGTCTGAGAGGCTCTACTAGCAAACCATGTACAATGGCTGAAATTTGTTATGGCAAAACCCGAAAGGAAACCATGAATTTGGCCACTGATTGTGCTATTCCAGCATAACTGATGATGAAAAGAACATCACTTGTAAGAAATTCAGCCCTGATACAAGCAAATGGCTATTCATTTTCATTGAAAAGTGGGGACATTGTCACAAGTGCAAAAGTCAGTGTTCTCAGATGTTGTGACAGTTTCTTGTCCCCAGTTTGTGAGATTCTCAGCCACTAAAAATAAATCATTAAATAAAACAATAAAACTATTAATGTTAATATGTTAAAACTGCTTACATGTTACATGTTTAAAACAGTTCATACTAACCAGTTTATACAGTGTTAGACAACATTATGATTGATGTAACACTTTTTATTTGGCACAATAGTGTGACCGCAAATATATTTGGTGTTTTTATTAAATGAAACTAGGTCAAATCTTTGACGGTTATTTATTTTATTTTACTTGCATTTATTTAAAGTTAATTTGTTACAAAAAATATAAATATAATTCCAAATAATGGCTTATTCCAGATTACATTACTAAATCTAAAATTGACTTACATGACCGAAATTTGATTGTACCGGGACGCATAATGCAATTGGTTTACGCGACACCTTGTACTTTTTAGAATTGTGTACTATTCATTATCTCGTATAGCGATTTAATATTAAGCAATAAAGTATTTCAAATTCATTCAATTCATTCAATATTTATATTTATTTAAACAAATAAATCAAAGTAAATACTGACCATTTTTGAATAAAATATCCAGTTTAAGTCGGGTCTAAAGGAAGAAAAACAAAGTGTTGTAGGAACAAATGTTGTCACCCATAATATTCTTAAATAAAAAATTAGATTATTACTCCTGTAAAATCTTAACGTCATTGTCATATCGAAGTAGCACACTATCTAACACTCATAATTTATCATACTTGCGTACATCTACTTATATAGGACCAACGCAAAAATACGCTAAGGCCATTCATAAAAAAATGTTTGTAGTGCTCGACCGACCCATGAAAATTGCCCCGACTCAAAAAAATTTTTACACCTTCGAGGATTTTTTTTTAAACCATTGTGCTTACATTCTGTAAAAAAAGAACTTTCTCCAATAACTTTTCAGACTAGTTTTGAGAAGTAGAAGAAATAAAGAATGTTATCCCAAAAACAAAATAAACACGCTTTTCATCGATATTAAGCCAAAATTTGACCCCGAACATCGGCGATTTCACATTTGCCAGAAATCCTAAAATTTCGCAAAGGGCATAACAATTCTCAGTTTCCAAGCCAAACATGTGAATGAATTGTTCTTTTGTTATTTAGTCAACATTAAATCTGATAAAAGTCAATCTCATTTTGAAGATATTTGCTAAAATAATTGCCGATCAGATGACAACTTACACACTGTGTGAAGCTGTACTCGATTTTCCTAAATGCTGCCTATATATACGGACAATGTATGGAAAGCTGAAGGTATTTTTACAAATATAAAGTTTTGTTCTTTAAACTTTAGAGTGGACATATTTAACCAGAATAAAATTCGATTTATTTTTGGTATAAAAGTGAAAAAACGATTGCAACCTTGCTTCGAAGATAATAGACACACATCAATGAATGTGGAAATGGACTACCCTCCGTAACCATAGGCCACCACTGTATACATAATTATATTTTAACAGAAAATAATACCAGAAAACTTTATTGTTGACATAAATTAATTTAAATCATTCTTCCATTCATGATTGTCAGAACATGAGGTTGCACTAAAACTTGTTGAAAAATACAAGTTAAGTGATAAAATTTTCGCGAGAAAGTCGCTGGAAAATTAACGTTTTTTCCCTGATACTTTTAAATAAGTTATACCTACAGGTGTTTTCTTCATAATGATAATTATTTTTAAAAAAAATACCTTTTCCTTAATTGTAATTTAAAAGCCATATTTTTAAATCTTTGTTGCGAACAATTTTACAAATAAATCATGCACAGTTTTCTTTTTTTTATTTTTTTTTCACTCGTTGTAATTGTCCGTTTATCTGACAGATACTATATTCCCATTCAACACACAAATGGGTTTATTTAATTGTTGCCCAATGCTATTTTAATCCCACTTTCAAGGACCTGTTGACGATTGTGAGCAATTACACACTATACTTGTACACAGCAGGTGACGTAGATTTTTCTACATAATACACTGCCAAATATGGCAAGTACACACGACTGTGTGACAGGTGTAATGTACATAATGATCTATTATTATGCTGGCTAGTGAATGGAGTTAATTAAGTAGGTTAATACAGTATGGTTTGGTAAGTGACAAGATAACTTAAATTTTCAAGTGTACACCCCTAAAATTTAACATTTTTAAAAAAAATCAAAGCTAAAAAAATTCTGCTGTTAGTCATTTAATTTCAAATATTTATATTCCAACCAGATTAAAATTATTTGCAGGATAAATCCTTTTATTCAATAGTAATGAGAAATGGATTTACTACACCCCTCCCTTCTTTGTGCATTTAGAATTTGACAAGTCAGGACCAGTAAAGGAAATCTGAGGTAGTCATCAAAGCAGGTGGTAATCATTGATTTTGCAAACAAAACATCTATACATGTAGCATAAATTGCATTTTTAAATAACTATGAAATACAAGTATTGAGACTAATTCCGTTTTATTTTCTCAAAGAGCTAGATCTATCAAGTAATCATATTGTATGTATTTTTCTCAGACCACTTCTTTTAATTAATTTTTACAGGTATTGTCACCTTTTTCCAGACATTGCCAATTTCAGTAAATAAGGAACAAGTTCAATTATTTTGTTTAAAGTTGAAATGAATATAAAATAAACAACAAAAGTGTTACATTGAATGTCTGTTACTATTTGAAATATTAAACAAAGAAAATATCAACAGAAATACATTTGCCTACATAATTTTTTTTGTGTAAATACATGTTCAGTATATCATGGCAGACTATATACTCACAGTGTATTGCTATACTCATTATGCTCAAATTTTGTATCAATTACAATTTAAAAAAAATCCCCTACCTACCTACCCACCTCTTGAACTTAGGGTCGGAGCACTACAAACAAACAATGTTGTAAGGATGGCCTATACGAATTTGCAATTGGAAATTCCCTATATTGTATTGTACATGTATAAGATACCGTTGTATGATTATTTAGGTCAGGTCACATTTGGTGTCTTATCGGTGTTATGATAACTTTTGTTACTATCAGTATGTTTTTGTGCTTAATCACGGCACGTTTAAGCGTATTTTATTAGTCAATAAGTGTGTAAATCATTATGAAGCATAGTACGCTTATCATTTGCACAAAAATTTGGTTATATAACGTTGGTTTTGATCGTGTTTTTCAGTTCAATAGATATTTTTCTTACCTCCGTTTCTTGTGTTTTTTGTGTTTGTTTTGGTCTCTTTGTGTGTGTGTGCGTGTGTGTGTGTGTGTGCGTGTGTGTGTGTGTGTTGGTGTGTGTGTGTGTGTGTGCGCGTGTGTGTGTGTGTGTGTGTGTGTGTGTGTGTTTTATTTTATTGGAATGACTGTAAACATACTTGATGTAGAGCATATACTTACAGGATAAAAATACGCTTTGAATTTAATGCTCAAGCATGATTTCGTCATATACTAGTATACATTATTCCTGGCAGTTTTAGAGAACATTTAGAACAATTTCTAAAAGGTATCAGTTTTTTGTCATAGAAACGTATAAAGTTCTATGACAATGATATGACGAAAGTAAGTCTTCAATAAGATATGTGAGTCACCGTAAGGTTCATGCCGTTTATCGACCCTGTTCCTTTCTCTATTAAATCCAATGTAGCATCACGTGACGTACAACAATCTCCATATTTCAGAAAATTACTGCATACATTTTTCTTATCAAAGTTGGAGTCCTAGTTGTGGAAATTTTGCAACAACTTTTGCTGTAACTGATTTACAAAAATATATTGTCGAACTTCTTTCGCTCGAACCCGTAGGGCACGTGCAAATCTGTCGAAGAGATCGGTAGTAATCGGTTGATTTTTTATGCATAAAAAGATCATACATTTCGGGTGCATGGGTGTGAAGGGTATCCCGGTTACATACGATACATGGTATATTATGATACAATTTACTTAGCCGCTTTTGAGCCCAACTACTTATTGTCTGCTTTAGAAAGGCGGTTGCTTAAAACATGTAACTGAGAAAAAAAGGTAAGTTTTAAACAATTTTTCCTTGGCGGTTTTAAGCCATGTTACTGCTGAATACAGGTGACCGCTGATTCAGGTTTTCCTGAAGATTTTTGTTTGTTTGTTTCATTTTAACGCCTTTTCCCAATAGTATTTCAGTCATACGGGCGGGTAGTTTCCTAACCATCGTTCCTGGAGAGTTACACCAGTACTAGACTACCTTCCTCCGTGCTAAACTACCAAAGCATCTCCCGGGGATCGAACCCACGTCAGAGAGGTAACTGGATTAGAAGTCATCGATTCAAACCCCTCGACCACGGAGGCGGTCGTTCCTGAAGATAGCTTAGCACCTGTTTATCCTATATAGACTGTACACCAAAGCAGTTTCATGTCTTCTCCAGATATATTGAATGGTCGTGTTTTAATTTTGCCACATGGCCTCAATGTTGCATTTGCGGAAACTTATGACATAAAACTTTTGTTGACGAACAGTATACACAGAAACATTTAGTGCATTCGTTGGGTTTTATAATGTCAATATGATTTCGCACAAATTTAATTAGGAACTAAAACACGATCAAAACCAACGTTATATAACCAAATTTTTGTGCAAATGATAAGCGTACTATGCTTCATAATGATTTATACACTTATTGACTAATAAAATACGCTTAAATGTGCCGTAATTAAGCACAAGAAACACACTGGCAGTAACAAAAGTTATCATAAGAACTCCAGGACATATTTTGAGTTATCACAAGAACTCCGTAACATTAGAAAAATCGGGTATACATTTATTAGCCTTGGCTTTATGTTTGCAACTCTCCATAATAATTAGGTGATTATGTATAGCAACGGTGAAGATCACAAATGAAAAGGTCAATATGTACGAATTAGCAAGTAATTTTGTAATTTTTCTCAAAACTACCAGATTTTTTAAAAAAGGCGACGAAATATGGACTAAAATATTTTTTCTGAAACAAAATACAATATGTAGGGCAAGCTTAATTATCAAAGTTAAATTTAGCACCTCAAACTCCCCATTTAAAGTTAAAAATAACCATTATTTACGCGAGTTCTCCAAGTATATAGAAAAGTTTTCCACAGAAATCCGTAACGTTTTCCAGGAACTCCGTGACAGTTATCATAAGAACTCCAAACAAGTTATCATAAGAACTCCATCCTTCGTGTAACACTTCCTCCCCCGTGGTTATCAGTGTCTTGACAGCCAAAAAGTTGTAGAAAAATAGAACTTGTTCTAATTTTCTTATTATCTTCATGGATGTCACATGATTTCTCGTTAAAAACCATTCAAGTAGGGTGTCTGCATTATCCAATACAAGGAGAATATGATACTTGATTAAAGACTTGGATTTATGTGTAGACCGGGTTAGTAGCTAGATAAGAACAAAATTACGAGTAAACCCTTTTAAACCACGTCACGTAGCAGTTCAATGAGACACTTGCCATTTTGTTACAAGCGTTTAAACACTAAGTCTCTAAAAAATCTTTGTCTTGTATTTTTTTCTTATTTCAGCTTTCCTTTTATTAAAAAGCATTTGTTTGTTGTGTACGAATACCATTTTTAAATTCTAAATTTCAATATTTGAGGTTTATTCATATCATTTTTGTATTAAGAAATTTTAAAATATAACCGTAAAGCATTACAAAACAAACATAATAATATTAATGTAACACGCATACCGTTT